GGGTTTATATAGGGTGTATATATATAGGGATCATGAACAGACAATAGAAACTTTTAATAATATGTTGCATAGGGATTACTTTGTGAGCCACCAGGCCACAGTAGTTTCCATTGTCTTGTCCATTATCCCTATATTAATATCCCTATATTCTAACCCAAAACCACCCAGATTCGTGTCGTAGCCCAATAGAAGTTATTGGGTGGGGCTCTTTGAAGTTAACCAGTCTTAGCATTCTTCTTATTATATGTATGTTTATATTACTCTTTGTATTGTTGTTATTATGAGATTGCGGGAGCACAAGCTTCTTTGCTTTAATCACGTTCTTCTTGGAGGCTCGCGGGTTACATGGAGTTGCAAGTAGAACATCAATAGGAATTTCAGAAAAATTGCAGCTTAAGGGCCACATTTACTAACGCTAAGTGTTTAAGTACATACCAAAAGACCTTTCGTCTAATTTCTCAAGGACCGCAATGGGGTCTTCAAGCGGCCCCAGCATCTCGCCTCCGCAGTGGGCACCTGGGACTCTACAGGAGACGGCTTTCAACATGCCTCTTGGGGCAGCTGAGCATTTTTGTAGTGGAGCGTCCCTAGTATCCCGGAACTATTGTAGGGGTTATTGTACTATCATCAAGAAGAGTCAGGATAGGCAGGGAGTGTTGGAATTGCATGGTTTAGGGTGCGGGGCTGTGTGGAACCAAGCCTCAAACGTCCTCTTCCAAGCTCTCTCAAGCCTAGGGGCCTAGGTATGCCAACCATGGAGGTGGCTACATCTACATGCTCTGCAACTCGGCCTTGATATGAAGACCTAAACCATTCGCATGTTGCATTATGGTTTGAGCTCAAGATAAGCCTAAACTCATCATATTTGCATCAGACCCCAGTTACGCACGAAATCGCAAATTCGCGAGCATTGCGAGCACTGTGTGTTCCGCTTTGGCTGGCTCCCCCTAGCCTTAGCGAGGCCTTTGCCTTAGGGGTCGGTAAATTGTGCCAAGGGTTCCATCTGTACTACCGTTTAAACTCCTTGGGGAAGGGGTTATATGGGGGATTATATAGGGGACTACTATAAGGGTCACTAAGGGTGATACTAGGAGTGTAGACCATAGCTCATATTTTGCAAAATCCCCGCTCAACCTCTCATTATGTTGCCATAAAGAATTAGTGACCTTCCCGACATGTTATGCAGCCCTTTACCTAAACACCCAAGGTGAGCGCTCACGCTTTATCCAGTGCCGAGACAACCTGGCGGACCCCATCCGCCTTTCCACAGAGGAGCAGGCGCTTGGCTGGGTTGCTGTTAAGGAATTTAATCCAAGTTACTGTAGTGCGGAAACCATAGCAGTTACTATATATACCCATTCTGGTAAATAGTTCCTTAACAGCAACTCAGTCGGAGTATGGGCCAAGGGGCTTTTAAAGTTTGGTGACTTTGAGATTACTTTCCCTTCATGGTCTAACACACCTACGCATCTAACAGTGGGCAGACTGGGTTGAAACTGAACGAAAAAAGCTGGGTGACAGGGTTCAAGGGGTCAGCATTCCGGATGCTCGGACAGGGGGCTCAAGAGTCTTGGGGTCCTGGAGTGGCAAGCAGGGGTTGGCATCACGGGTTGGCCCTGCAGCGTTGACTATTGCAGTGTGTAGAGTGCACTGTTATGAAGTTTCCCTGCTCCAAGCCCGAAAGTCTTAGATACTCTACTATGCCTGGAGGCTCTAAAGCAGTGGTAAGTGGGGGTATTCTGACCTTGATTTAGGGTATGCCTACCTTGTTCCTCCTCATCTTACCCTCCACCTAGGAGGCTTCATTTTGTTTTTGTCAAGTTTGCCAAAATAAGCTCTACCAGTTGGCAGGCCTCGGGTCATACTCCTGAAGCACTCCCTCAACATGCCAAACTTGGGTTCTCTATATTCCAAATCGTTCTCCCAACCCAGTGTACAACTTGAAGGATCCAACCCAGAAACCTTAAAACCTCCATAGAGGCAGGATAGACTCCGAAAATGATTTCTATAGAGCCATGTGATTCCTTCACAATCCTCGGAATCCCTCAGTCAGGAAGACGCCTACCTGCAATGTGTCTGGGATTCTCGGCTTGGCATGTTTCAGCAGCCACGGTACAGTTGCGTGAGAGTGGGGTTCAGTTGTGCGAGCAAGTGGAAATTGAAAGATGGCCGGGAGGAAGGCTGTTATGCAGAATCCGCATTCAGACGAATCTGGGGTCTGCCAACTGACCCCAACACTCACTACAATAGATAATTGTTCTACAGCTAGGCAAGCCTTAAAGCCAATAGAACCTCTCAGATTTTGAAACCCCACTCTTTTGCCAGTTCCTGTCCAAGCCCTGTGCCAAGGCATGCTTTGAAGAGAATGTCTTAGAGTTTGCCGAAGGGTCCCAGTGGCTTGAATACCAGGAGCAGCCCACAATGAAGCCAGGCATCTAAACAGTACGCCTGTTTTTTCCTACATCTTTGATGTTGGGTTGCTTGCGAGCCCAGGGCTGCCTTCTTTGCTTTAGACATTTGGAACGCATTTGTTTCCTGATCTTTCCAACATCGTGCAAAAACATATGTTGCATTCAACAACTACAGGAAACCACAGCGCACTGTCAGAGATCATTAGAAAAGGAGGTGCCCAAGAGGCTATCAGTGCTAAATACAGGCCGGGGCGGAACAATACGAGTCATGGCCACACGCTTGTCAAGGAATATCAGCATGAAGGTCCAGAGCAAGACAGAAGGAACGGCGCCCGATGGTTCCACCTGGCGGTGGATCCCGATACCAGCTGCTAGTTTGAGGAATGTGGGACCAGGGGAAAGCCCAAAATCAAGGACGGCTTGGTCTCATTGGCCATGTTGCTGTAAGCTGCCTTTTTGGTAAGAAGATTTTTTATGGGCTGTTACGGTGTGGATCGGAGCTCACAGCAGGGTTGGAATAGGCAAGCTGCACTGGATTTAAATGGAACGTTTCTTGCCTAAATTGCGGCATTTTGTCATTTTGCTAAGGATCAGAATCAGCTGGCGCTACAACGCGTAACTTTCTGCCAGGTTCGGCCACAGACCTTGTTTTCTTGAAGCAAGGATGGCAAACTTCAGATTTCAAACACCATGCCCTGCAAAACATCCTTAACCATGAGAATCCTTGGCTATGAGACCAGAAGATTTTGACAAGACTTGAGGGAGGTCTCAAAGGCGGTGATCACAAAGAGGGATCCATCATCAAAAGATATCTCATGCCAAAGCCTTGAAGCTGCCTGTGGACTTAAGATGAGCCCCTGACTGGACCGTGTAGTGCAAGGAAGTTCCGAAAGAAGCATGTGATATGCTATATGAAGTGCCATTACTTGTCAGAAGGCGATGTTGTGTAGAACTTCCATAAGGGCCTGGAAAGCCATGTTGGCCATCTAGTTCTCACTGCGGAACCACTGTGCCCGCTAACCCCTTGAATCCCTGACTTGAACCCAGGACACTACTCAGATCACAGGAGGTGGTGAGGGCACGTGCGCCTGGGAAGCTGTTTCATCTTTCAGCACCCTGGCACCAGTTTACAAAGAGGCCTTGGGGATGCTTAGGAGAATATGTCCAGTATTTGCTTTACTTGTAATTTGCAGCTTTACAAATGGTGCTCAACTCATCATCATGTCTAGCGAATTTGCCCCAGTTTGAGGGACCCTGCACTCTGCAGTTTTGCACAGGTGGTCTGGCGCTACATATGATATGTTCTTGCTGCTACTTTGGCACCGAGGCAACAATCTCGTGAAGGCAAAGTTTGCCGAGGACTTTGGCGAGGAAGGCACTTGTGACACGGGGCCACGGGCCCACAATCCCAACAACTGGCAGGTGAAGGACAAGGCACGCATGTTGACGCCCAAGCAAGACAGAGGCCACCTAGATAAAGCTAAGAACAAGAACTCGGGAGGAAGGCCAAGTGTTTCAGAGACCCTGAGGTTCTTGTGCCGGCCAGTCTCCCTGTTGGAGAATACCTGCTGAGCTGGCGATGGGATTGCTACATGGCTGACCAGGTCGGAATGTCAGAGAACAATGTCACTTTCAGGGGCTTGTGAGGGATATTTGTATGGAGGTTCTGAGCGTTTTGGTGCATTTGCTTACAAACGGTTTGCCTCGAATGAGGAAGAACTAACTTTGGGCCTTTAGCACTACTGTAGCTTGAGAGCTTGTGCTGGAATGACGAAACGTCTATACGGGCTCCCCTGATACTTTCATACCCGAGGCAGCAAACCCTGTACACCCAAATTTGAGTAGCATTTTTTATGGGGATACTGTGGTCCCCACTACTAAGTCAGGGGTATAGTATTGTATCAGAATGTTTTTACTAGTTACCTGGCGCAACCACGCTCATGTTGATGCAATCCCAAGTAGCCAGGTGTGGTCAAACTGCGCTGATGTAGAGATCACTACCTCGCCGTCTCCCACGACTCAGACTACGAGACCCACTTGTGTTCAGGAACCTGTTTCATCTGGGCGCTCCCGAAACTTATGGCTCCCTTAGACGGTCCCCTACGAAGATTCAAAGCGGCACAGTAAGTACTGGGGGTTTACAGCCAGAAGTCATGTTGTGACCAGTCCTGAGATGAATCGAGGACAAGGACAGGACCAGCTCCAAGACCAGCTCCAACAACCACTCTGCTTAGCACCAGCATTGGCATCTCCACAACCGCCAGCGCATGCGAAGATGATGTGCTGCCCCCTGAGTGGAGCCAGTCTGGCCGCTTTGATTGTGCTTCTCAGCTGCACAGGAAGCAAGTTCGTCCTGAGTTTCGCCGCATGCCGGCACACTATGCAGTAGTGTTCTTCATCATCACGCGATTTATATGAAGGCACACGGATAATCCTGAAACCAATGACCCCAGCCTTATCATGTCCAGATGTACAGGATATGAAGCTCCTTATTTACAGTCCTTAGGCCCTTTTAGAAGGCGTCTTGTTGATCTAAATGATCTATAGATCCTTTTTCGTGTAGCCCTTGCCGCGCTTCCGTTAGACGGCTGGACTGTGGAAGCACGCACAAGCCATAGCATCAAAACTGCCCTCAAGCATTCCATCATCAAACCGATCTTGCTGTGCCTCGGCCAACGGCCACCGCTCACTGCGGAAGTTATGTTCCTCACAGGTGTAGGAAGTGGCTTCACAAGAGGAGTGCCCTTGAAACCCAGCCTACTTCCGCTACGGTGTTCCCGCGGAAAGCGGAAAGCGGACAGCTGAAGAAAAAGCAAATGAGCTAGCTATGTCGGTAAGCTTAATGATCAACTGGGAAATTGGAAGACGAAGGAGAAGAAAAGAGACCAAAAGAAGAGCAGCTGCATTGCATGTAGTCAGAAATCAGGCATACTTTGAGTCCCGGGGGGCATCGTACACGCGGCCCAACGCCTACTGCGAGCACGCCGTATCTGGGCCTTTAGTGTAGGTTGGTGCAGGCTTCAGGGCAGGTAACGTTTTGACACAAGGACGTGCGCCGGGTCAAGAAGCAAGACCTCCCAAAATCCTAAGCTTCATGTATTGAGGCTCCCTTTGGCGATGCCACATGCTACGGTTTCCTCTCACCTGGCTTTGCAGGAATTTGCTTGACCCTACGCCCTTGGCACTTGCAGTAGGATTACTGGTGTATCCCTGATGTGTTGTGATAGAGCCTTACGCGATGAGTCTGAACCATTGTGTTAGCCTAAGAAGAAGTCCTGCCACTGCTACTGCTGTTCCTCCTCCGTTTACGCTCCACTAGTATTAGTGTTGTAGATGTAGTCGTCGTCGTAGCCGTACCTGTAGTCGTAGTCGTAGTCATAGTCGTAGCGTTAGTCCTACATAGCAGTACTAGAGCTAGCATTCGCCAAATTGCTATGTCGAAATGGCTTTAGGCCATTCGCGATGCCTGCTGCTTCTGTGGCGGCGGAGGGTCCAGCATCTCCGCCAGGGCCAAGCGGCAGAGGAAGACACCGGCTGCCTGGCAATTCTTGGGCCCTCGTTGGACATCCTTGATGTTTTTTGGAGTTTGGGCTTGCCTCTAGGAATGCGATTGAATACCCAGTAAGAACCCTTTTGTTCGTAAATGCTGATAGGGACTCAGATTCCTTGAGCTGACTTACGCGTGGGATGAGCTATGGTATCAGTATTGTTGTTGTGGCAGCCATCACGCGTTGCCGTGCCTGTGATATTGATGATAGTGGTAGCAAGAGCCGCTGCAACAGTCAGACTTCTGCTGGCAATAGCAAGTTTCTTCATAGATCGGGATGCCCTAGATTTGGGATGTTCTAATTTGAGCTGCGGTTGCCATGGTTAAGGATGACGGAGATGAGAGTCCTTTGGCATTGGGTGCAAGGTTTGTTACATAGTGTGAAGATCCAGCATCGGTACGAGGGTGTAACAGACTGGCGGTGTCGCGGCTCACGCCTCAGGGCTTTCTTGTTTGGGGCTAGGTGCTTTAAAATTCACATTGCTACTGGGAAGAGCTGCCAGTGGAATGTGGCGTTGCGGCGATACGTTTTCTAAGACAAAAACTGAGAATGCAATGCCTAGTGCTGAGCAGCAGCTGTCAAGTGTGCAAAGGCTTTGCGCCACGGTGCGCTGGCCCTCATCCAGAATGGCACAAAAGTGCAACATGAGGGGCTGAAGTCTGAGCTGGAGCTCTAAGCTTCAGTTTTATTTGAGGCTGGTGGAGCTTGAAGCTTTGCAGGTTTGAGTTCTAGGCGCCCGGAGTGCTTCTTTGCATGAGATCTGCCTTGAACTTAGAGGCATCTGGATTTGAAGCTTGTAATTCGTTCCAAGTTGCTGGCTTACTGCTGGCAATTTCAGACCAAGACTCCGCGCAGGTACAGGATCTTGGACAGCGGGACATGGTCGCTTTGCATGTTTCTGGGAGCTCGGTGCAGGCTACGTCCCGAGCAACCTCACTACACCCGCTCCGGCTCAGACCGTACAGCATGTTGGAGCGTGACAATTTTGAGAGGGGCAGCCGGATCGCTCCACTCAGACATGATCGGGGGGAAACGGCTGCCCAATTGGTAGATGACTGCAACTTTCAGGGCATTACAGGCTAAGCTTGCATCAGATGCGGACACGCGGTGTAGAGCTGCGTTCCTCGGCTCTGATGTGGGATGCCAGGTCATACCCTTGTCAGTTCCGGCTGCCATTCGCAGAGGCTAAGAAAAGTTTGCGCTGGTGCCAAGGGTTCTTACCATGCCACGGGATTCGGATTTACAAAACCACCCGAGAAAAGACGCTTTATCCCAATCATCGGCTTGCGTGCGCATCCTTCTTGTTTGGCCAGGTTCTACCCATCTGGGCTTCTACGTGTAGCGGGTGTAGAAGAACAGTTATTCTGTGATTGTCAGTTACTGTGAGAGGAGCAGGTTGTAATCATAGACGGAGTTGGAGCAATCACGTTCCCTTCTCAACATGAGCTCCCAATAGCACATTGTGAGGAGTTTGATGCTGAATCTACAAGAAAAAATTTACTTGCAGGCAGTGGAGGATGGTGTGGCGTCATGGCCGGGGGGTTGAGATGTAGCAATACTTCACTGTTTTCAGATGGATTAAAATAGTGGGCTTTGAGGCTAGCATGCGACTGCAGGACATAACTCGCCCCTTCGAGCTGTGCAGTGTTCAGTATGCTGGGTGTGTGGGATGGGGCTTCTGCGTCATTAGAGGGACGCCGGCGTGGAGTCTTTCAGACCGTAAAATTGCTGCTTCCTCACTAAAAGCCCTTCCGGAGTCAGTGAACTAGAATTGCCAACACCTCAGGGACCCTTGAAATCGTGCAGGGCTGATGCCAGACCTCACCAAAAACCCCAGACATTGAAGATGCGCTCACACGGGGCTTCTGACGGTTTCATTTGGCATCAGCAAGCTGCCTTCACATCACCAGTGGCGGTTTTGGGAATGGGTGGCTGTGGTAGCATGCAATGTAAGCAGAAATCAGTTCAGCTAACCTGTGATATTTCACGTGCCAATCTGGAAGACAAGCATACAGCATTCCACGAGGCAAACAGCTTTCGCATTTGGGCCTGACTCTGCGGATTCGTTCATGACTGGTCCCGAACTTTTGGGTGTCCCCACAGTGGCGTTTAATTGGCCTGACCATGCCTGCCTGACGAACCCACGACATGTTGAGGCCGCGCCCGTACGGGCATGCGCCGCCGATGCATTGTGCTAGCCTGAGTCTACATCCAGCGTTTGAATCCTCCAAACCATTCAAACTTGGGAGTTTCCCCTCAGAGTTCTTATGAGAAGCGCCCTGTCATTCGATTCACTGTGGCAGGATGAGGGGATCCGATTTCAATCGGCCTTCACAAGGGCTAGGGCGCGGGGGCAATGCTCAAGCACTGCTCATCCCACATGAGAAACCAAACCTGATCCTTTCTGCAAAGGTCCTCGGTCATGACGAGCTCAGCATAGAAAGCAACATGCTACTGCAGCATTGTTGCTATTGTTGCTATTGTTACTTTAACTGCTGGGCAGGTTGGCAAAGTTGACTTCTTCTATCTCAGGCTTGCTGTCTCCCGGCCCTCATGACAATGGAAGAGTATGTTGTCTTCATCTAAACATTCCCGCAGCCGTGGCACAGAAACATACGCCAGTTGCATTCACAAAGGGTGGACTATTTACTCCCGACACCTCAGTCCCCATTTGATCCCAAGCCCCAACAGCGGACTGGAGGTCCGCCGGGATATCCGCCGCAGTAGCCTCAGCTCCTCGCACCACTCATACATGAGCCGAGCCAGCTGGCAGGACATGTTCTGCAATGGGTCGTGGGTGGTCGATTGAGCCACAGCCCAACCTCAGCAGGCTTAAGTCCTCTTACTGGCTATTGCCGCCTAAGTTGCCCCGTCGCTGTTTTCCAAGGAATTCCTCTTAACAGTAGCCCTGTTGGTTCAGCCCTACCTAAGCTACTCCCAGCCTTTCAGGCCTGGGTATCCACCCATGCACGGTCCGCCAATGCCTGCTCCTCAGCGTTGAGTTCTGGATGCCTGCAGTCACTC